TACCCAGATGACAGCATTCCTGAAAGAGCCTAGATGAAGTTATAAAGTGCCACAGATGTGTGTGATCATGTTTCCAGCTTCAGAATGATCTAATTTCCCCTTCCCATCATGTAAGTCAATCCTGGAAATATCTTGGTACCAAATAAGATAAGGAGAAAGTTTCCTCTCTTGTATGGAAGCCAGTAATCCTGCAATGCTATGATGGATTAGGCCACAACAATGCAGTTCATCGGTTTCTGTTACGTGTTCCAGTAAGAAGTGTCCTCAATTTTATTGTGTTCACATATCTTCAGCATTGCCTCTTGATGCCATTTGCTGTATACATGTACAATGTACGTATGATTCTGCTCTCTATGCTTCTTTTTTCCTCAGAAACAAGAAAAAACCCTTTCATTTCTTTTTTCTTTCCAAAAAAACTTGAGAATACAAAACTCAAAAGATTGAATTGCTTTGGCCTTTTACTGAAAGTTATTAGGGATACCTGACATTTTACAACAGAGTATCCAGCATGCCAATTTGATGGTACAGTGGTTACGACCTACCTTGCCTTTATCGTCTTTGCTATCAGCACTCAGTGAAACTGTTGCTTTCTGTATGGCATGAACCCTGTACAGTCTGGGGTATTTGCCATCTAAGTTCACAAATGTACTACAGGGCACAGGGGTAGTATTGTGAGAGAAAGAGGAGATATTATGTTTAGTTTTAGTTGACAGTTGATGAGGTTTTATGTATCTTTTTCCACCTATTTTATGAAAAGAGTGGTTCAACATAGGGTTTTATCAGCGTGTCAAGTGTACTGCACAGTCGCGTTATTGGGTAGGCTATATTCATCATTCCCAGAAGCCCCATGTAGAGCCTCTGTCTGTCCCTTGTGAGGAAGACCTGGTCCTGGTGGATTGGCTGGGGTCGGCTTACACCCTGCCATTCCTGGCATTTCATTTCCTTTCCCAGCACTGATGGTAATCACTTCCTCCCAGCATTCCCTGTCCCCCTGACGTGTCACATGTGGCCGTTTTGTCCGTTATAACGTTATACCGGAAGATTAGGTTAGCATACCACAGGCAGGCTGTAGCTGTCAGATGTAGAGCTAGTTCTTAGGAAGTCAAGGATTTCTTACTCATAATCGGTGGTAATTTTTTGCCCTACAGAGTTACAAAACCACATGGCGATGCAGAGTGGAGAAGTCCTTGATACAGCACAGAGTTTTACCAGGACGACTTTTCCGTAGATGTAGAGCCAGTAGGAAGTTAAGGATTATAAGAGGATTTCTCTCTCACAATTGGTGGTGATTCGTTGCCTAACAGAATTACAAAACTGCTACATACAGGGAGTAAGACTGGGGTTACTACAAGGCTTACAGTGCTACACCAGAGGATCTACAACAGTGAAGTTTTCCCAGGATGGCTTTCCTGGACCGGGAGCGGCTACGGGAGAAGCTTGAGGAGACTCTGCAGCGGAGCCGGGACGACTCGGACCGCCAGCTGGACACACTGCTCGGGGAGGTGCGAGGAATTCAAACCTGGATACAGGACACCTTCGACCAGCTGGAGCTGCTGAGTGTAACCGTGGAGGACGAAGCTTCGCAGGGGGTCTCAGGCATCACCAACCACAGACAACATCTCCAGGTATGTCCTCACCAACGTTGTTTGTTTGTGTTATTGTCAATGGCACACTTATGCATTCATATAAGAAGTGATTGCAATGAAACAAAAGGTGCCCTAGACAGGTCAGAAGCAAACAGTTTTTCAGTAGAATAATTTGGTATCTATTCTATAGCATTATTGTTCTCATTGTACAGTTTTGCTATTAAAGTTTAGCTGTAATGTTCCATACCATTTATAATATACAAACCAAGCTTGGGCAATAGAAAAATTCCCAGCAACTTATCTCGTACACTATCTGTCTAGCCATGCTATTTATACCACCGATGCCATAATTCATTCAAAATCACAGGTTTATTAGGAGCTCCATGAGAAGGTTAGACGAGCAAAGGTCACAAATGAGGAGCAAGATTGTCTGCTAGCCGAAAATGGGGATGATAATGGGCAGATTTTGTAAGCGAATTGAACAGTTGGTCTGGTGAATGTAATTTGACTAGAAGTTTGGAAGGTTTAACGTCATGATACATGAATCTGGATGCTGAAGAGCTTCTGGTGTAACATGCATGGTGAGAACAGATAAAGTAAGGCTGCTATGTACGTGGAGGAATTTTAATGCTGATTTCCAAAAACTGATGTTATCAACTGCTTAAACGTCTGCTTATATGTAATTTATTCATTTATTTGTTATTAATCTTGGACTTTGTAAAAAATCATCTAATCTGATACATAAGCTGCCTGTCTAAAAACTGATGAAATCAAACGTGACAACATTATCACGCCAACTGACACTGACATCATCTTAACCAGCAGATGTGAGGGCAAGAGACATCAATCTAACCAGGGCAGATTCTTGAACTCTAGGGGGAAGGAGTGTTTGAGATAGAATACTGACTCTAAATATAGTTGGAATATGGTGTCAGTCTGATGGTTTAAGGTTGGCTTTTGAACTGAGGATTGGGGGTTTGCTTGGGTGGAATGCAGAGAAAGACATGCTTAAAAGTAATGCTTCGTTTATGACATGTCATATCAATGGAATGTTGTAGTACTACATGACATGTTGATAGGACAGTTGTCATATAAACTTGCATTTCTTTTATTTCTGATTCTGTATGATTCTGTAGACGACATGTCAGCAGATATCCCAAGCACTGTTGGCTTATACCAGACAGAGAATCTGAATAATGTATGCTGCAGTATGCAGCAGGCAACCTAGACATGCACATCGTCATCCAATCATCTTTGTCAAGGATACAGACCAGCTAAACCTGTTAGAAACAACAGCCTATAGACTCAATGCCAATTCATTATTTACCTTGGTACCTGTACAATATAAAAATTTAGCCCTAGGTCAAGATGAAAACAGAAGAGGGCTTCGAGGAAAACTTGTGAAAATCTGATGACATTCACTCTGTAGTATGGTTGTAGCCTTTTCCCCTCAGAGGTTACCGGTATTTATGTTTGGTTGGGTTACATAATGTTGCAATTCATGGTCTGCTCTACTCCTCTCACCATATACTCATACTCATAGTACATGTATGCGAATGTGTAAACATTATGCATTTGCTTTGCAAATGTTACTTGTCTAGTTTCATATTGATTTCCTGGCTAAGGATTGTTTTTTAAAGTCTGCAAACCAACAAGTTAAATTGTTGTGGCCTGAGAGTGTTGCAGATTCCAGTAGCTAGTCTATTGATTGACCTGCCCTACATCTCACACTGGCTGCCTGCTGGTCTCATGGGGTTTTCCCATATTGTACTCCTATTAGAGAACTAACAAGTGGCATTAATGTTGTATTGTTCATAGCTGGTAAGTCTGGCAGGAGAGATGATTGTGTAATTTAATGTAAACGCCCTCAGGTCAACTGATATAATATGCATTAATGGCATTAAAAGGAACCAAATGTTTCTATGTATCTACATCAGTGGGCAAATCTCCAATCAGATGTTAGAGGGGTAAATTGTATTTGTCTCTGACTGGGTCCCAAGATCTGACAACTAAGCTCCCTAGCTATCAATCAGATCTTGGGGCTCAGTCACACACTACCATCATGATTTTACCCCCAGACATCTGCTTGGACATTACTGCAAGATGCAATATATAAACAGCTTCTGAGGTCGGCAGGTCACATATAACTGTCCATCAGTGGGGTCAGGAAAGTAGGTCATGTCAGTACAAAAATATCCTAGGAGACTAAAGAAAACATGATTTGAAGAAGATTGAATCAGGTCATCACAGCATGTGTATGTAAATTGTTATTGCAGCCTGGTAAAGAGAGAAAATCTTGAGTTCATACTTCAGTCAGACTAGGGTCAAAAGGAAATTGAATCAGGTCATCACGCATAATTTCTATAAATGTTTCCTGCTATAACCATAGAACCCATAAAGTAACCCCTGACCTGCCCCTGGCCCTGTGCCCCCTGTTTTTAGACATTCATCATTTACAGGAGGCAATTTCCACCAATATATGCAGGTACAATGTAGCATGAGCCTTTTTAGCTTTCGTCCGCTCCCCACGATCCACTAGCCAAAAATGTCACAAGCTATAAAGGCTGACACTGAGGCTAGTTACAATGTTGTAGGTTGAGCAGACTTCAGTGGCATATGGAAAGTCATTGTGAAGGTCAAATGGATTTCTCTCTATAAAGACATATCATGGGTTATCAGGAGCAGAAATATTGCTGTCAGTGTCAGAAACTGATATGCAGATCATTTAATTTTGTCTGGCATCATTTATTCATGCTCCACATGTGGGCTCACTGGCTTTTTCAAAGGGCCCTGGGGACCAGTACTAGTAGTCTCCAAGCAGATGTTGGAATCCAAAAGAATTACCCTGGAATTACCATTGTATCTTCCAATGTCTACTTAGAGCTTGGGGGAAACCACTAGTCAACGTTAGTGAAATACAACAAGGAAGGAGAACAAGTTAGGTAATACAGTGTATAATACACTTAAATCAGCATTAATATATCATGTCATTTGAAAATGGTATGGACAATAAATTTGAATAGAAAGTAATTTTCCCAGCAGGACCCATTTCCCATTCATCAGTCATCCTTCACAATGTGTTTCTTCCTGTCTTGTTGCAATAGATTCCAATGACAGTAATTAGGAGTTCATATAAAATTGATTTTAGGCAATAATTTTTCATTCACATTATACTTATGTTAGATAAACTTACTCAAGTAATCCCCCAGTGCATTGTTTAAAATAATATAAAGTGATTAAGCTGCCAGATAAGCCTATTTTATCCTGGGGTTGTATATCAAGGGGCATTTAGGATGCCACAGCCAAGAAACTTTGAACCTTTGCCAGCACAGTTGCCTGCATGTTTAGATGTTTCTAGTTCTTGAGACAACCCATCTGGTATCCTGTGGTATCATGTTACACTTAGACATCACAACCTGACCTGTGATGTCACAAAACCAGCACCACCCACACAAATTATTTCATACAGCAATCTGCTATCAAATATGCAGGCATGTTTTATCTGTAAGTCTGGTATGATGTCATTTCCCTCCAATCCTCCTTCCTGCTTCATTTGCATGCAATGGCAGCTTCCTGTGATGTCATCATCATGATATCTCTCGGGAATCTCCCAGATCCCTGAGTTTTCCCGCCATGCTGTTTCCAACGACGTGGCCTGTTGTTTTAAACCATCCACAAACACCATGGATGGTTGAGTTTTGCAGCGGACATGTTCCTCAGATGTGTGCCATTGTTGACGAGAAAACATGTCCAGTTTACGGCTGTGAAGGTGAGGGGACATCGGATGTTCTGATCAGTGTTTGTTCAACACTGATCAGTGCAGTGGGGAGGGGGATTAGGGTCACATGTGGTGTGATACTGTGAATAGTGTTGTGTTGTTCTGTTTTTATTTTTGCTGGAGTTCTGTCCCCCCTGGCTGAGGTGACTGCTAGGCAGCAGGTAGTGATCTATTGTTAGGAGACATACCAGCAGGGCACGCAGCAAAACTGTCCTCTTTAGAGTGTGGTCAACCCTTGAGCAGGGGTCACCTGGGGTCACAGATGGCATGCTGGACTCTTGGAAACATGATGACACCTGGGCTGAACCAAACACAGCGGCAGGTCTGCACTTGTCCTTGCTCCACTGGTGCTCAGAAGGCAAGAAAAAGGGTCTGCATGGGGGACCTAGCATTTTGGGCAATCTGGCATTTAGCTTTGTACAGCAGAATTAATTACACGGAATTAAAATTATCAAAGGCACCAATTTTGCAAATTAACAAATGATTTACTGACAACACTTAATTCTAACATTGAATTAGAAAGGGTCAGCTTTGATTGATTACCAGGGTAATGGTGAATTAAAACAGTTTGCTACTCCTCATGGAAATAGGCATGTAGACCCTCAAGAAAGGTGAAGGATCTGTACAGAAGTGTGTGGATTAGTTAGTTGCCGAATGATGGTCCCAGGGAGGAAGCAGACAGTCAGAAGATTGGACTTCTGCTGTGCCTTACTAGTAGATCTTTACTTGTGAAGGTTGGCTTCATTTCCAGCTTTTGTGTGGCAGACAATCAGGTGAACTTTATGTTTTTTGTGAAATCCATTCTGGATATTAGACTTTAGTGATAATATAGCTTATTCAACTTTCTTGGTATCTTGTACCTTTGCTATCAATAGTATCATTTTTGGACATGTACATTTGTTTGTTTGTTTGGTTGGTCAGGCAAGAACAAAAAGGGTTTGCTTTTATTATATGTTTTAAGAAACTTATTCTAACGTTTTAGTTGCAAAATTCTGACTAAACCCAGATCAATCTCTCAAAAAGTCTTCACAACAGGAACAGTTTCAACAGAGATATCTACCAACATATTTGTGCAAGGTCTGAGCCAAACTGAAGGCCAAGGATAGCCTTGGTCAAACTGATAAGGATGCCATTTGGATATTCCATGGAGGTAGAAAAAACCTCTACCTCCATGGATATTCAGGGTGCCTCTTCATGGGTGCTATGTACTTAGCTCTTGCTTTGGAGCCTTTGGTACTATCTAAATGAGCTGGAACCTGAA